GTTTTTAAGTTGCGTCTTTTCAAACTCTGATTTTGGTATAAGTGTAATGTATGCTTCTTTCCACGACTCAGGTGCCCTTTTCCCTTCCAATATTTCATTACAGACTTCCTTTAATGGTTGTATTAACCATTCTTTCAAAGTTCTGTAATATCTAGAAGTCAGTCCATCCGGTCCTGGAGATGATTTCTGAATATCTCTCTTTCTCTCTCTCCAGCAAAAGTTGGTGGTTTGTCAAGTCCTTGATCACCCAGCATATATGCTTTGATAGGCTGCATTCTGATCAGTTAGTCCTATTACTATTACAAAGAATGAATTATGGCCCTGCAGTTTTGCAATTGAATTTAAATTCCTGCTGGAGATCTATCCATTGTTCCTGAATCTTGTATAGATTTTGCTTATTTAATTGATACCCCACTTTGAGGTATGACTCACAATCACGCAAGATAGTTTTCGCACAGCAATTGCCTTTCAATCTCTATTACACAAAAGCTAAAATTCCTTCTTGATTATGTTATCTGAAGATGAGATGCCAATTAATGTTAGTTCAAGCACAGTGCAAGGGAGTTCAATGATATCTACACATCATGTGTAGAGCAACAGCATAAGCTATTGCAGGGTTCCTAAAACTTCTCAGATGGAAAAAGCAGAATTTCCACTGGGTAAGCTTTCAATGGGCCCATCTAGACTGTCGCTATTCCATTACACACTGGCAAATTCACATTGTGCGATGAAAGTTGATCTGGTGTTCATGCCAATCACACACTCTCCAAACCAGACTTTTTGTGATGGGGAAATGCACGGAAAAGTGTGGTATAACAATTGCTGGATGCGTCGTCATCTAACCTCTCCACAAACAAACCAGAGTCAATGCTCAATGAAGATTCGGTGTCATCTCATCTCCCCACAAGCTTTGTGTGAACAAATAAGAATGAATGCTCAAAACATGAGTCACCAGGAGCCAACCAGTGCCAACAATATTTGCACACAGTAAAGTCTAGACAACATTGCTGCTTCCAACTTCTAGGGCAACAGGTCAGATAGGTTGGCGCTACTTTCCATTGCCAAAACTTCATATATGCTTTCCCTTACTTCCATCCTCTGTTCACTTTTCCCTCTCCACGTCTGAGGCCCTGGTCCAGATCCCCACACCTAGTGATGTTAGGCTGGTGTCAATTTGATTTCCTCACAAAATTAGGCACAACAGACATCTTTGAAATACATAAAACTGATTATTATTACTATCACCGTTCCAGGACAATTATACTCGTACCCAGAAGGAGAAATGCAATTGTCAATTCCTTGGTACAAAAGTTGCTTGGGAGTTAGAAATCCGAGATGACTTTGATCTCTAGTCTCAGAGTAATGGATATGATGTCCTGAGAGATACAAGGAGATTTTGCTTTTGTTGTTTCTCTTAAAGTCATCTTTCTACTGCTATTGTTCTTAGGGACATTTAAATGGGCACACACTCAGAAAGCGCTAGTAAAGGCTTTTCAGTGACCTTATTACACTACAGCTCTGAAAAGCGATAGTGTTGCAAAATCTACCACTGAGCTCTCTCTCTTCAGAGAGAAAGTTTATTCTATTCTTTTATTTGGAAAGGACTTTTTTTCAGGGAGAGTTATGTGTTTGTGGGTTTTGGGGGGGGGAGTTGTTTGTGCTAATGCGAGCTGCTAGATTTCTATTTCACTGAAAAAGAATGAGATTGAGAATAATGGAAGATGTATAAGGGAAAGAAGGGAAGAGGTTAGGCATACAACAGGTGCACCCAAAATGGCCGCCACTTTCCCACACATATCAGTCAGCTTCCAGCGGCCTCAGGAGGCCTGCGAATTCAATGGCCTTTGAGATCAAATATCTCCCAGGTAGAAGTGGAATAAGGGGGAAAAGAACAGTGGGAGAGCAGCGGGAACGAGAGGAGGGGGTTTGTTTGTGCTTTTACAGCATGATCATTAGCATCTCTAAAGCTGTGACTTGCAACATAATCCATGTTCTTTCACTGTAATGGATGGTCACACACTGTGATTTTATCTGTAGACAAGGGGTAGGATTGCTGTTGTGGCTCCTTTCCTGTAGTAGTAGATCAGCGGCTCTCTTGTTTTCAGGTGGAACTGAAATTCGTTTGGCAGCTGATGGGATGGGATTGTGGTGATCGCCTTTCTATTGGCCCCGGACCAAGGGTGTGTTCACATTACTGCCTTAGAGCATACTAAAGCTGTACCTCCTCACTCCAACCCCAACCCAGCCCTGGTGAATTTCACAGCTCTTTCCCCTGTAGTAGTTCACATCAGCATGGCTTCATTAGTGTCAGATTCACCCTTGACCTTGCATAACATCTCTGGTGTCATCTATGCTTTTTTCCTGGTGATTAGCCACTGTGATATAGTGGTTAATGTTGTACTAGGACAAAAGGGAGATCTGGGTTCAAATCCCCACTCAGCCAACAAAATACATCAGAAGAACTCGAGGAGGGGAAGGTACATTTTATCATATGTGATGGGATTGCAAGATTATTATAAAAAAAATGGGAAATGATATACAATGAACTGAAAAAAAAGTTTAAAACAACGTTTGTTAAAAAACCAAAAGCTTTTTTGGTAGGTATTTTAGGACAAGAGCTACTGAAAGAAAAATGAACAGCAGGAAGAATTCTAATAGCACAAAATTGGAAGACTGGAGAAGTACCATCTAAAGAACAGTTTCAAGAAAAACTGATGAACTATGCAGAGTTAACAAAGTTAATGGAAAAACTGCAAGAAAAGGACAATAGGGACTTTTAAAAAGGATGGGAAACTTTTACAATATATTTGCAGAAACAAAAAAAATGGACTCATTGGCAGGATTTAAATAAACATTTACAACTTTATTTACACCAAACAAGAAATATAACAATGTGATAACATAGTATTATATACAAACAGGAGACTGTATCATTTGATGTTAATAAACCAGAAATGGAAGCTGAGGGAAGTCAACAGGAAGGGGGGGAGGATTGAAAAATAAATGTTTAGTATTGATATTGGAAATTTGTTTTGAAAATGTAAAATCAATAAAAATTTTAACAGAAGAAGAAGAACTTGAGGACATTCATTGACTTCTCAATCACACTTCTTCATGTGAGGACAGAATGGAAGGAGGAAGCTATGAGCTTCACCCTTGCTAACTTGGAGGAAGGGCAGGGTAATATTATAATAAGTAAATATCCTGTGTTGCTAGTACATGAAATTTTGTACATTGTTCTTTTCAACACAATGATGTACAACACAGACCCCCAACCACAAGTCACGTCTGGAGGGGGGCTTCATGTATTCCTTCCTTAAAGATCTTAAACTGCATGGTCTCCCTCAAAACACACAGAAGGGAAAGCTGGTTTTCATAAGGAAAAGGAGAGGGAGTGATGCGTTTCTGACACATGCGAGCTTGCTTCAGGGGATAGGAATGGGATGGAAAAGTTTCCATCAGTTCCTGTGGGGTGTGTGAAAAATAGACCCTTAACCATCAACTGCCCCAGAAAAAAGGGACATCCAATTTTTTCTTGCGAGAGGACAGTGGCCACAATGGCTGCTGTGATCTCACATGATTTGGGGCTGTACTTTTTTGGGCATGGAGACCCAAAATGCGCTGTGCTCCCCAAAGCATTTTTTTTGGAGGGGGGGCGGGCACAACTTTGCTTGGGTCACGTGACTCACACAGGAATGCAGACCTAGAAGATGGCTTTGAATACACATTCACAAACTTTTTATTGATAATAATCAGCTAAATAGTTTGAGGATCTATACAACTTTGTAACATGCAGAAAACAGCATTCTCAGAGAAATCAAAGACTGGAACTGAGGGAAGCCAGGGTGGGGGGTGGGGGTGGGGTTTGTGTGGGAGGGTGGGGGAAGGGAGGAAAAATGGGGGAAAAAATAAGAATGATATGTTTCTGGATAATATGTTTTGCTTTAATTTTGAATTAAAAACATAAATAAATAGAAGATGGCATCTCAGATTTGGGCCGCATTGTGTTGGAAGGTATGTAGACCTAACCTTGGTGGGGAAGCCGCAGTAGGAGATGCCAGAAACTGGGGTTGTGTGAATAGCAGCAGGAGTGTTGGGTATGGAGACTGCTGAATGGGGAAAAGGCAGAAACTAGCAAGAGGAATTGTTGAGTTGGGACAGTAGAAGGAGAAAGTGGGGGAGGGGAGGAGTAGAATTCTTCTCTCCTCAAAACAGCTCCCCCCCCCCCGATCAGGAAATTTTGCATGCTTCCAACTTTGCTGAAAATAATCATAGCACCCCAGTCACCAGAAGCAGAATATCAGATTTCGTTTATTGCCTGAACAGTCTCATCCATTTGATTTGAGGCCCATATATTATATGGAACTCTCTGTTACTTCCTGGCCTTGACAAGCTTCTAACAAATTGTTTTGCTAAGGAAAAAAAAATACAGTTCAGTCAAAATTGCAGTGCCATTGACAAGTGTCAAATTCTCACAAGCAGGGGGAATAATGTTAGTTTTCAGCTGGTAATAGTCTGTGTTTTTGTGGCTGACTACTGGGAAATTTTTAAAACATATTTCAATCTTCTCGAAGATTGGATGACTTCCTAGTACTCCGTGTGCAGCAAGAACAATGGAAAAGGGACCATTCTTCTCCAAAGCAAGAGTAATCCACCAAGTTTAGTTAGATAGATTCCATGCATTTCAATGAAGCTTAAATATCTCTGATATAATACTCAGTTGGTGAGTACAACAGGTTGGGGGCCAAGGCAGAGCCTCTGAAAAACAAGAGGGAGGTATTGGCATGGTCACTACTTGGAGGCATCCTGAGGTTTTCAGAAGTAAAACTTTTTTTAAAATGACCTAAGGGGACAATCTCTTCCCTGAAACCGCCTCTGAAGGACTGGAATGTCGAGGGCCATTTAGGAAACCACAGCAACTGAAAACCAAGGGGGTGGGGGAATAAATAGAGTATCCTGGAGAGGACATGGGTGGTTTGCTGGAAATTTGAACAGGAGCGATCAGGATATCTCAGCTGACAGAGCATGAGACTCTTGATCTCAGGGTTGTGGGTTCAAGCCCCATGTTGGGTGAAAGATCATTGCAAGGTGTTGGACTACGTTACCTTTGTGGTTCCTCCCAATTCTACAATTCTACAATTCATTGAGCCCTCTTGTTAAGAGAGGAAGGTGCACTGTATCATTTTGTTGCAGAATTAAAATTAGAAGGGGGGAAAATAGCTACAGTGGTACCTCTGGTTACGAACTTAATTCGTTCTGGAGGTCCGTTCTTAACCTGACGCCGTTCTTAACCTGAGGTACCACTTTAGCTAATGGGGCCTCCCGCTGCCGCCGTGCTGCCGCCACACGATTTCTGTTCTCATCCTGAGGTAAAGTTCTTAACCCGAGGTATTACTTCCGGGTTAGTGGAGTCTGTAATCTGAAGTGTTTGTAACTTGAGGTACCACTCTACAAGTCTTCTGTTCATGATAGGTTTAGGGTCAGTTTTGCTATAATAAATTGAAGCTTTCTGACAAGTTACATCCATTTATGGTAGGGCAGTTACCTGGGGTGACTAGTTTGAGGAGGTGGTGCTTAAATTTAACAAACTTATTTGTTTTTAGCCTATTCTTTAAAAAAAGAAGAAAAAGATTTGAGGATATAAACAACTTTTTTCAAAGCACAATTGTCCTGGGAGACAGAGAGGAAAAAGGTAAGCTTGAAACGTTTGTGCCTCTCCCCAAGGAGGAAGAAAGAAAGAAAGAAAGAAAGAAAGAAAGAAAGAAAGAAAGAAAGAAAGAAAGAGATGGAGGTATTACCTCTTCCCCATTGCCCCATGGTGCTTTTTTGAAGAAGAACAAAATTACACAGAAAGCACCACTCATCAACCTCCAAAGTAATATGTATTCCCTCCTCCATTTCAACTGAATTTGGTGTATTTGGTGCCAAAGCTCCACCCTTAGACCCATGAGGTACTAACAAAGGAAGCACTTCAAGGCATAGGCAGAGTGTTTTCTGCTCAACACATCTGAATCCTGTGTGGTGGGAAAGTCTATTTCCAGAATGAAGCCAGATTTGTAGGAGGACCTGAGCCCCAGTGTGTCTAACTTTAGAAACAAAACGTGGGTAATGAGATGAAGTAGCCAAAAATAGCCTCCATCTGGAGAATGGCAGTTTAGTTCTGAGTACAGTGGTACCTTGGTTTATGAATTTAATCCATTCCGTTCTTAAACCAAAGCATTCTTAAACCAAGGCATGCTTTCCCATAGCAGTGGGGGACTCAATTTACAAATGGAACACACTCTACAGGAAGTGAAACATGTTCTGCTTCCAAGGCAAAGTTCACAAACCAAAACACCTACTTCCGGGTTTGCAGCGTTCTTAATCCAAGTTGTTCATAAACTAAGCTGTTCTCAAACCAAGGTACCACTGTACTAGATAGGCATCATGATCTTTATCCTTCTCTGGTTGTGAACCTCGCTGAGTCACTTATCTGGATGCTGCTTATATGCTCTGGAAGCTGATACACCCCAGCAGTGGTTAACAAAAGAGGATGGGCCAAGGTAGTAGGGCAGTAATTACTGCTCTAGGTCTAAAGCTAAGCTTGCTACTCCACCACTCAGTGTTGAAAAAGTTGCCCTTGTACATGATAGAGCTATCAGCTACATATAGCAAAACTCCTGTGTCACTGTTACAATAATCATATAAGAGGAAAGGCTTTCCTTTAAAATATTAAACTAGCTGTTCACACTTGATACTGGGACATCCTCTTTCAGCATTTAATTACTCCTTTAAAAAATAAGTTTGACACAAATACATATCATTTCTTTAAACCGCTGTGTAGCTGAAACAAAGTGCTCTAAGCAGTTTCTTTCTGGGAGCGAACTGTCATTTTTTAAAAAAATAACATTAACTTTTACAAGTTTCAAGCGAGTGGAAAAAATGGATTTTATTATTTTATTATGCGCACATGCACACACATACACACATTTTGCTCTGAATGTTTTATTACTGCAAAAACAGATTTTGTGGTTTTAACTGTTAAGACTCAGTGCAGTGGGCTATGGAACCTTTTATGTAACCTGATGGCCTGAATAATTATCCAAATATTTTGCTTTCCACCCTTTCTAAGCCTTTGCATAAGAAAAAAAAGTGTATGCAACCTTTTGACCACAAAATAACAATAATAAAAAGCCCCCTTCACAAAGCTTACTCTCATTACTACAGTAGGTACTGTAATAGGGGAGGCAGTAGCACATTCCTGCTGGGCGTCAGAGAGGACTCTTATCAGTTACTGCACAGGAAGCCAAAGCTGGATAGGGGACAGGGGACTTGCCTGAGCAAATGGCAATATGGCCAGCGGGGAAGGCAAAAGCCACTGGCAATGGATATAAAGCAGCAATTGAAGTGGTCTCCATGCATCTTGCTCTCCAGGTTTGCCGCAAGGTGCCCAAGAGAAATGCAAATGGCTGTCTCCCTTCTGCTGATGGGCATGGAAAATCCTTCCACACAATCTGCACTGAAATGGACCTGTTCTTGAACACCTCCTATTCATTTTGGTGAGATTTAGACAGGAGAAATGATTTGCAGCTTGTTCCCTTGCTGCCAGGGAAAGACTGCTAAGCAGTTGAGATTGTGCTTGCAGTTTCCAGTGGCATCCCCATCGACCATGACCAACATGAACCTGGTCAAGCTATTTGTCACCCACATAACTTCTGGGATGTAAACTGTGATGTGAGTTTGGCTGTGGTCTCGGGTTTCAGCAGAGCAAAGCAGCACTGAGAGAAGCAAGGTTTTCTCTGAAGTGCCTTCACCGGCCTCCAGAGCAGCTGAAATCTCAAAATTATCTAAGGGCTCATCCACACTTACCCCATATTTACAAAGCATGGGTCTGAGTGGTTTTCCACTTGACTTTTGTGTTATAGGCACGGGTCCAAATGGTCTCCCCTTTGCCTTGCTCTTTTCCCATTAGAGCAAAGGTAAATCCAGAGAAAACCCGAATTTCTGTTTGCTCTGAACGAGCACTAAAGAGCGGCTTTCCTCAGGTGAAACAACTGGGACAAGAGGAAGCATGGGATAAGCCTTAACATGCAGTCATGCTATATGTTGATGTTCTCCCTCGACACTGCAGAAGACCCAAAAAAAGTAGCAAGTGATTGAGAAACATAGAAGAGCTATAAAGAGGCTGTTAGGATCAAGAGAAAGCCAAGAGGCTGATGGTTTCTTGCTGCAAAGTCAGCCATTTCTTCAGAACATGTCCTAGGGGCGACAAGCTGGTCTCGGGACAAGACAGAATGGAGAGTCCCAATTAGATAACTAATTTGGCTCCTTGAGCATTTTTAGCCTTTGGCCATAGAGTAAGGAGGAGTAACCACTGGTTCTCAAATTGCCATGCTCCGCCGATTATTTTTTAATTGAGGCTTTTGTCAAGCATGGAAGCATTGTGACTTCTAATAACCCAAAGCGACGTCTCTGATGCAGCTGAGGGAGACGGTCCCCTTGTATCTGGTCTGTCTCCTGATTCTCCCACCAGGTAAACACAATGCAGAATAATGTCTCCAAAATGCCTGCAGGCAGTGGCCAGGCAGCCTTCCATAGAGAAGCCGGGATCATGGGGACTTCAAAGGGAAGAAGTCAATGGGATACTCTGTTCTCTGCTCCCTATGCCTGTGGTTTCACAGCTGGTCTCAGCCATGTGATTATCACTCATTTAGGCTGCTCATTAAAATCATGATAGTTAAGGGGCGAGAGACTCCTGAAACAGCATTAAAAGGTGATTTATAATTCCTCCCTCAATGCAAGATCAAGCTATGGAAGACAACACAGTTCGTCTATGAATATATACCTCAAAGTGACAGAACTAAGACTGAGACCCTGCTGAGTGCAAGTTGTTGACAGGGACCTGGTCCTTTTTGCTTATGGCACTGTGCAAAAAAGTTTCTAGTGAGGTGGGGAGTTACAGGGCACCAAGTGGTCTCTCACATGACCCTCTCAGTCCATGAATGTTTGTGACTGGGTGCCTTCAGTCCAGTCTCTTTCTTTAAGCCTGATATTCCTCACAGAACTGTTGAGACAATAAAACTGAATAATCCCATGGATGCCACTATGAGAAGATACAAATACACTGACTAAATGGTGGTGGTTTGTTGGCACAGGGCGATTGCGAAGAGCAGGAAAGGATTCAGGGAGGTTCCACATCTGAATCCTAATTGGTTTCAATGACCACTGTGGTATAATTAACTAATTTGTGGCTCTGAAAGATTGCAGTGACAGCAGTATTCACTTACTTCATTGCAATCTACACAGCTGACTAATGCTCATATCAACACCTCAGAGGCAAGCATCAGTCCCTCCAGCAGTCTGATTTCTCCAGAGACAACCTTTCCAGATCATTTGAACTAATTGAGGTAGTGGAGAAATTATTTTAATGCCAAAAATACATTACCCCTCCCCAAACCACCCCTCTTGTTCATTTTGCAAGACAATAATATTTATAAGGCTTCTTGACTGCTAAATGTTAAGGTAGCAAGGCTGTAGCCATCAACGACCCATGCTTTATATGTACCTCTGTTTGGAGACTGGTCTCACATGAAACCATATCCCAAATGTCACCTTTCTGTCCTCCTTAAGTGCCAGGCTCTGCCTCCCTCACAGCTATAAAGTCTGACATAACTCTTTCCATATGGGGTTGATCCAGCCCCTTCTCCCCTCAGACTCTTACTTGGGTTATTACTTAAACATAACACCCCAACATTTTCTGAAACAACCGACAAAATGGAAACAAACATTTTATAAGGAACATGTTCTACCTTAATTACAGTTATTATCAAGAGCCAGAATTTACAACATCTTGTGGAAAATGATGGATGTAAAGGTCTGAGACCATACCAATGTGGTTTTGATCAGGTCCTTTTATGGCAATATGGATTATTTTACTTTTCTTTGCTCTGCCCCACTGTAAAACTCACACCTGCACCACAGGTAGTCCTTAAGTAAGAGGAAAATCTGTGTTACCAGCTAGCTGCACACACAAGGGCAGCCCAAGCTTTTATTTCAGATGGTCATTGACTTTAAGGTGAACAGAAAAACCATGACGG